CAGTTTTCTCAAAAAATGCTTGAATTCAAGAAGTTTTAGATTTGCTTGGTTTTTTTTGGGTGGCAAAATCCACTTGAGCATGACGCTGCTTTTTTCGAAGTTTCTCAAGAACCATTCGAGCCAGATAATTCGTTTTGGCATCGTTGGATAGAGATTTAAATGGGGGGGTCATGACCCCCCAGACCCCTCCCTGGATCCGCCCTTGTCCACAGGTGGTGGCAGGAAGTCTATTTTAGTTTTTGTCCTCGCACTATTAGTGCATTAAACAATTTTAAGAGAGGAAAAGTTTTGTGAACAAAGTGACTTTTCGAGTGACCTTTCCTGATGCAATTCCTGCCGGTTATAAAGCGACAATGGAAAGTTCGTAATCGTTGCTTAATACGCATGTTTTTAGATTGCCTGCTTCATTTACAATTTTTTTTCGAATCTCTGATAATTTTGGAAAAATCAATTAAGATCAGATGGAAATACCGACAAATTTCGAACTTTCTTGATGTTCAAGCAATGCGGAAAACTGCGAATCAACTCTACCCTACTTACTTGCAGCATCGCACAGCCAATGGCTGAGCCCATAAAACCGCCAATACAGCTCGTATCTTCGATCGTGTATATTGTGGTAATGCTTGAAGGAGAGCAGGAAAACGAACAATAAGTAGATTATATCTGCGATTCCCAACGCCGATAGGTAGATGTTTGTGGAAGATCTCATTCTTCTTCTGAAACAGAATAAAAACTTAATAGGTCTGATACGGCATTGTTCTGCTCATTTTTTAAATAAAGTTAACTTTAACTTTTTTGCTAACCATTTTACGTCTGCAAATGAGATCGAAATCCTTAAGAAAGCACTTGATCAAACAAAATTAAAATCCTATGGAAAATTTCTACACGCGCCGCCAATTTTTTAAACCAAAGCATTCTTGTTGGACGAACTTTAAATTATAAGATAAGCAAACGGTTTTTACACACTGGCATGCTTTTGTAGTCAAAGGTTAAATGCGTCCATTTCCAGTTTCCATGCAAAAAACGCAAATTTCCAACCAATTGAAAAACAGTGAGAGCAAAAACTTGGTGCGAATAAGCGAAATGAAATCAACAGAAAAATATTAGAAAAGTTCTATATTGTTGAGGCGTATTCATTTTTTTACAAAGTATTTGTTGCACCTTTTATCAATCTGTAATAAAAGACGTGCGGAAATTCTGTCTTTTTTAATGACAAAAATTTTGAGGCGAAATACTCAACAAACAAAAATATTCACCTTGTAAGAACCATAACTGTTATGGTATTGCCTGAGACTCCCACACATACCATGATTGGTACCAGGACCTTTTGGAACCAGAACCGGGAACTCTCCAAAATCGCATCAGTAGTGTCATTATACATGTTCTGAAAGAGATTTTTCAATGTTATTTATTTGCCGTTTTTCAACTCGCGTGTAGTGAAACAAACAAGTTTCCATCAAATCTGAATCTGGGCTATTTTCGTTTCAGCATGCAATTCAATTCATTAACACACTGGTAATGTTTCTCATCAGGCCAGTAAGACACCAGTTAAAATACACCTTTGTTTTTCGTTGACGCCGGCCTGGCACCAGTTCAAAGAGTCGTCACATTTTATGATTCGCTTTCATTTTTTTTCATTTGCCGATTTTCGGCTTGATGGTTACATACACGAAACATCCTGCTTGCTGTAAGTCTAATTAAAACATACAAATGTGTATAAAGGAATTAATTTTCAATGTCAATAGAAAAGAAGAACATCTCAGATACGGAGACTCAAAAAGTGAAATAGAACAATAGAAGGACTTGTGAACGACAAAAAGCGAGCAAACAATAAAGGGCTGATTGATGACTAAAAGAATAGAAAAGCGTGAGAAATATAACATGTATATATATTTCGCAAGTTTTTCTATTCAAAAACCTTCCAAAACTACAAAGTTTTCACTCAAGTTCAATGACAACAACATTGTTTTGGCTCCTTGAAAGTTTCCGCAAATTTTGAAGTTGTTTCCCAAAAAAATCCTAAGGGAAAGCGAGGGCAATTTGAGATTTTAGTCAATTTTTTGCTGTTTTTTCCGAAATGAAGCCTCCAACCGATTAAAGCAATTCTTGGAAACTTTTCCTAAACGGAAAATTGTATAGAATAGGAAGAGTGGCGACTTTCTAAGAATATAGGCTAAAGAAAAAACTGCAAGAAATGGTTTTCGCAAGTTTTTCCATTGAAAACCTTCCAAAACTACAAAATTTTTGAAAGCTTCCGCAAAC